AGGAAATCGCCGCGCCGCGCCGGCCGAGTTTTCTCCGAATCTGCGAGAAATCACGACGGAGTGTTATTCCGACGACCGTAAAAGGACCGGCCGGGGAAAGAACGTTCCGTCGACGTTCCGGAGGGATCGTTTCGTCGCTTGGCGGAGGACATGCGAGACACGTAATCGCGAATATAACGCGCGTATCCGTGTGAAGTGTACTCCGCGCTCCGCGCCGAGTCGCATGAAAAGCAGCAAAATAAGTTGTTATTACGAATACCGTCGCTATCTCACGTCATCACGAGAACGAGTTTTATTATATGTGTCGGAAAATTAAAAACATTGTATATCCGGATTATCATTTCATTCCTTGCCGGAGTTCGACCGATTAGGTATTCAGAACGTATTGTATTCATTAATTGTAATTTATAACCGATCGTGCATAAGATAAAATATCAGCATGCGATATGAATCACATATCTCTCACATCTTTTATTATGTCGTATAAATTGAACGGAATATTCCTCTAAAAATGTGAACGCGAATGCATTATGCAAATGGCAACTTTTAAACGAATAATGCGATAAATGTACGCGCGCTGTTAGATTAAAGATAAGTTTAGAGAGAATTATTTCAATAAATCAATTAACATTAATAAATTTCAGGAAATGACACGTTTGCGACCCGTGCTTATTGACGTCAATGATAATTATAGAATAATTTACATTTTATATAATTGTCAGCGATTACAATATAATTGTTTAATTGCAGTTTTCTTGATGCTGTTGCAGGTGTCGGTCACTGATTTACCATAAGCAGTAATAATAATTCATAAAACGCTTATAAGAGTAAAATTTTCTATGTCCGTTCTCATATACCTTCCATTTTTTGTATTCTTCCGTCTTGCATACGCGACACGCTTCAGAGTGCAATTTCGATTGCACTTCAATAGCTTGATCGATATATAATTTTCTGCACGAAAGGCTTTATAACAAAGTTTACGACGTCTGCTCGCTTGAAACCGCATATACGACTCAATTCGGATAATTGGAACTCCTGTTGGCGTCGAGGCCGCTCGTTAAACCAGACGTCGACCTTAACCCGTTTCTTCTGTTATGCTAATTCAGCATTATATCCCATGTTGTTTACAACTCACCAATAATTGCTTCATCTTATTTTGTAATACATGAAGTTTTGGTCATTAACATTTTGTGTATTGCTGGATGAAGTTAAAATTATTACTTAATTGAGAAAGACAGTAGTAACACTTTATAAAATTTGTGATTTAAGGAATATGTTCGTTGAGCATTTAAGAAATTTTATAGTCTAGTTTTTAACGATGCTTAACTGTTGTAATAATTAAGTAAAGATGTGCGAATCAAGGATTTTTGATGTCGAACCAAATCGACAAAATTTTATTCGAATCGAAACGAATTGAATACTTTCGAATCGAATCGTTGAAATGTGAAGTGTGTTTTTAATTGTTATTATTAGACTGAATTTTAACACGTAGATAATATAAGAATATTTTAATGTGAAAAAAAAATATTAATTATATAATATAAATTCTTTTTAAAGCAAAAAACACATTTAAATATTTAATATAAAACTAATAAAATATACTTTATTTAATGTCGCAGTAACTGAATCAATTAGGCGCAAAAAATCATAGATAAATTATTAAGATACTCTTATGTATTATCCGATAACGTTATCCAATTACATACATAGAAATTAAAATAAAATAATATCGTTTATTTTATTATCAGTACTTATAGATAGCTTATTATTTTTTCACGCATATTTAAACTTTTACTTATAATTTGCTAGGGTCACAGGACATGTTACAAATTAGAAATAAACTTTTTAATTGCTACTTAGCCGCTCAGTGAGCGGTTATAATACTGAATGCTCTCACTGAATGCACCTATTAACATGATCGTATACTTTTGTTTATTAACGGGAAATATGATTTTATAAAATTGACAATGCATACGATTCGTATTCGATCTATCTAAAGTCGACATTTTCGAATAGTTCGGATTCGAAACATTAGAAATTCGAATTTGAATCAAATAGTTTGCACATCTCTAGTAATAAGGAACCGTTTGACCGTTTGACCAAGGACGGATTTCTCTACTTTATAACGCGCTTTCTTCGCAAGACCGTCCGATCACTCCGTTCTTCCTACTCGGAAATCAACGTACCTCTGACCTTGAATGACTGCGGTCAACGGGAGTTCTCCATGGTATTGCGGAATCGGTACGGCTGGTCACGTGTCCACCCCCTCATTGTGTTCGTATTGCTCGCCGATTGGCGAGCGTTAGCGATCGCAGTTTCGCTGGCGTCGTGCGCGCCGCTCGTTCAGTTGTGTTGAGCATCATCCTCGCGACGCATCTCTTATCGTCGGTCTGCAATCGGCACGCAGTTACACGTGTATGCACGCGCGTGCATTCTACGTGCGTGCGTGGGTGGGTGCGCGTGTCCGCGTACTTGTGTACATTTAGTCAGGTGTATCATCGTGATCGCCAGTCGGATCACGGACGCGCGCTACCGATACTCGCGCGACATTCTTGTCGCTCAGTCGTTATTCGAGAGGTCTACGTATACGTAGCATGGAGAAATGTCGAGGGACGCTAGAAAAGGTATGCGCGTACGATATAAATAAATTCCCCGTTTAATGTTTGCGAATTTTTGAGTGCGCGTGATACTGATACCGCATTTGCTCCGAGACAAGGAAATCAGTTCTCCGATTCACTTGAATCATTCACCCGTGTCGCGCGAATTTCAATCTCCGTTATCTTATACCAGTTTTTGTTGAATATTGAGTAGAATCGCGCATAGGATACTGCTCAGTAGGACTCCCGTAAGATCGTTGAAAATTTTGTGGAGTTTTTTAGGGTTTATTATTTAAATGATTGATAAGAAATACTGCTAAATGAGAAAAAAATTATACGCGTTATGCACAAGAAAAAAAAGAAGTGTCAAATCAACACTGATATACTCGTACATACGCAATAAGGTATAATCTTGAAATGCGATTATATTGCGTTAAACAAAGAAAATTTGCTTGAAAGAAGTTATTTATATTAAACGAAGTTTTGTATAATTCAACCAAGAAAAAAATTGAAATAAAAAGTTAAAATTCTTATAAGATTATATATTATTGTACATACGAGTGTATTAGAGAGTGTTATTGATTTAACATTTCTTTTTTTTGTGTACCTATTTATAGATAGATTTATAAAAGCTAACTATGTGTATTATAATTGTAATTTTCTATTTCTGTGTATGTGTAAGAGATTTGATACAGGAATCGATTATCTTCTATTGAATTTATAACGTTTTGACATTGCAAATATCTTGTTAAAATTTTTTAATAATATTCATGGTATAGCTAAGAGTTACTAAAAGATAGATGTATATTAAAAATTATCTTATATGAATATCACGCTTGATATGAATAGATTTAGAAACGAATATTTCGGAGTAATTATGATAGATAGGATATGACAGATGGCAACATCATTTAGCCATTAAGTAGATTGCAATATGTGCTGGACAGAATGAAAAGCGCCCGATGCTTTGGGTGAAACTCTTTCTTTATAGACGCCATGTTTAATGCAACGATAGACGCGGGAATTCGGCTCACGTTGCCATTTACAAAGTCTACGATAATAGAAAGTATTTCTTCAGCGCTACTATGCTCTTTAACAGTGTGATAGTAACATATTGGCTGCGGGTTCTCAAGGACTTGGCGATGAAACAAACACTGCGAGCGGCTAATCAATTGGCGTTAGTATTTGAATGTAAAATAGCCGCGACTCGAGAACGCACGCGCTCTCGCGAATCTATTAGCTATTAATTGCTTTGAAACGGACGTCATCCAACTTATTAGAATTGTAATGCCAGACACGTGTAATGCATGTACTTATCATAAAATAACTATCAAAAAGCTTCTTCTCGTGTTCGTTGTAAGGTAATGGTAACGTAAACGATAAAAAAAATTATGTAATGCAAAGATCCGTTATGTCACTTTTTCTTCAAACTTACATATTCAGGAAATTTTTCTCGTACATTTCCACAGTCTTCAGGGCACATGAAATAATTGAGTTTTAAAAGATCGCCTATGGGGTCCTTATACATCAAATTGGTTAATTGTCCTTCGTAGATGAAAGTACAGTTTCAAGGTATTTGCTAATTGAGTATGCAACGTATGTGCCCGTGCAGCGGATACACACAATTATACTTATATTGAATACTGTATTTGCGCAATAAATTTTCGAGTTAGCCATATCCGCTTGAAATAAAGAAATCGTGCGTTGAAAACGAAAAAGTAAACACACAAGACTACGTTACAATTGTCGAAACAATTGTTATTCACATAAGATCTTGTAAAAATTATTCATGTCAAACAAGCATTAATGATATAAAATATTCTTGAGTCAACAGTGGCTTAAAATCCGTTGACGCAGTGCCATGCTAATGGTGCACACCATAAATTAAAGCTAATCTTGAAATTTACATGTAGCGTGCACGCGGTTATCTTTCAAATAGCTCGTGCTTCATATTTTGTCGCATGAGATTTACAACGGATTACGTGTCGGTAATGTATAAAAATAAAATGGTTCTCCAACTTAGGAAAATGCATTATCAGATCATTTTTTTTCTGCGACGGTGTTTACTGATGGCGTCAACTGATTAGCATGAGTCAATTCATGAGTTAATTTTAACTGACGTACATTTGCTAGAGGTACACTTTGTGTAAATATTTTAATCATCTGTTTTTTTTAGTGATTTTTTTAGTTTTAATTATATAAACTTTTACAGAGGAGAGTATATAAAGGAAAATTGATAATTTAAAATAAACTTATGTGTTTTTATCACTGTAATACAAATTTTGTATGAATACAATCTAATTATATTTAGTTTTATTTTGTCAAATAATTACGTCAGTTAGAACTAATTTAACGAAGAAATGTTATTAATCATAAGATGGTACATTTTGACTTCGATTACAGATTTTTCGGCAAACCCGGAGGTCGAGCAGCTGTTGCCGAGCGCCGAGGCAGGCGATGACACGTCAAACACACGTATGAGAAGACTTCAACCAGACGAGCGGTTGTCCATGAACGAGTTGTATCTTCAAGGTGGCGTTTCGTCATCGCTTCAGGACAAATCCGCGTCATTAAATCATAACGCACACATAGGGGAGAGCTCGAGCGGTCCGACGGCTGTGATAACGCCGTCCTCGATCGTCGCAAACGGCAACGAGAGTAATGACGATCCGCCGCCTTATGCCACGATTCCGCCGCCTTATAGCGCGATCTCGCCACCGGATCACATCGGTTGGCCGTACGGACTTTTTTCATTCGGCGATTCGTCGTATTCCACGGACGGGACGACTCGTAGGATGGAAATACCGTTGACACCTTTCCAAGCCTGTCTGGCACCGGCAGCGAGTTTCCATCCCGAAGGGATTAACGGTCAATACGCGTATCCGATGCCCTTAATGCCTTACCAGTTTTTCAAGTTTGGTTGCCGCAGGAGCTCTTTCGTGCCGAGGGAAATGGCGGACGACGGGATCGCGGAGAAAATCGACGATAGAAAATCACGAAGTGAGCATCGGTGGTTAAATAGTGGTCTTTGCTACGTGTATTTTTTAATTATAAAAGATTATAAAAATAATACTAATTGCTATTACATTTAAAGCTTTTCTGAATGAATTAAAATATCTGTCTTAATTCTAAAACTCATAATTCCACGCAATAGAGAAGATTTCCTTGGTTAGAAAAATAAAAATTATTAATAAACAACTTGTAAGAAACGATAGTGAAAAAGCTGATTGGTCATTACTTTATCTAAGCAGCATATTGGAATATGAGTAAATTGGCGAATAATATCAACAAAATTTAACTCGACGATAGGCGAGTGATTGTATAGCAACATTACATCATCAATAATAGACAAGGTCAAATTTAAGATTAATCAACAAGATCTCATAATATTTGCTATTATACTAAATGCAGTTATTAAAAAGAGATATAAAAAGATCTAAACACAAATAATTTTTAACAGGATACGGCGCTATCCTTGTGGCAGCGGCGGTCATCATCTTTCTCATGGCCCTCTCCTTGATGGTTCGCTTCATCATGGAAAAGAGTTGGTGGCGAAGATAGCTTATCAATGGAATTGATGAATACCTCGAAAGTGTTAAATTCCAACTTACGAGAGATTAATTAACGATCTATAATTAGACTTTATTAACCTAACATAATTTACTTTAGCAGGTACTTTATATAGTTTCTGAGATAGCTCATATTGGTTATCTCTAATTTTCTCTGTCTCTTTTTTATACTTCTCTCACCGAAGTCTGTCATTAAGTAAAGAAGCATATCAAAAGTATATTTATTGCATTGTTGCTGCTTAATACTTTCTTTTTCATTTTATATGTATAGATTTTCTACGATTGTTTTTCTGAGATAAGATAATATGAAAGTATGTATATGTAATATATATATTTATTGCGTCATTGCTGATTAATACTTTCTTTTTCATTTTATGTGTACAGATTTTCTACGATTGTTTTTCTGAGATAAGATAATATAAAATACAACGACTGAGAAGTTTAATCGGATGTAAATAATGACATTAATTTATATGACATCTTTTTTGTATAACTAGGAAACACGGCAGTGCTAATTTTTATGCATGCGTAACTGACGATATACATCTTTATATTGGTGTTGGAAAAGAGGCAAATAACTAAAGCAGTTACGATTGATTTAGCATTATGCAAAATAATCTAAAATGAGTCACTTCTAATATTCTTTCCTTAGCGCGATAACATGATTTATTAGGAAATAAAATTCAAATATAGTATAAATTGAACTAAAATATCTTATTTTGCGTTTATCATTTATATTGTGATTATTTCATGCTTATTATAAATGAAAAAAGTGCGTGTTGATACAATTATGCATGAGAAATGATTATTTTTTAAAGTTGAAGTACGTAGCAGTGATAGTAAGTATATCTGCAATAACAGTATCTACTTTAAACTAAGAAATGGCTGTCGAATTTCATAATATTAAGTACCTACGTTTTTGTATGTTATTGTGACTTGTATTATATTATTTTTTAAATATATGTATATATTCTTATTAATTTATTAATTTTTTTATGTAATTTATAAATCTGTAATTAATTGAAATGACGCTGGCGACGTTGTACGAAGTTCATAATTATTTGTCAAGCCCGTTATCCACTTAACGTAGAAACTTCGACGCTTATTGGCCCGATGGGACGCCGATGACGAAGTAGTGGAAGACGAGGAAGAAGTAGATAACATCGTGGTGGAAGGCAAGGTAACTGAACAATAAAGTTAAGAAAGGGAAGGGTAAATGGAGGCGCTCATCGTATACTGATTAAAAATACAGACTTGTATCTCTCGAGAATAGGTGATCAGAAAAGTCTAAATATCCTGAGAGATGTGAAAGTTTGTAGCCGAAGGCAAATTCTCAGGGTGAAAAATGAATAAAACTACTAAGATCATAAATAGACTTGTAGTTTAGCTAAATACCGAGTAATAAACCGTTTTAAAGGTATTCGAATATTTCGATGGATATATTTTTACATACGTTTAAAAAATAAGATATAGTTTTTATGTAAAAGTGTTGGACATACGTCTTGCTAAAACCTTTATTAATTTGAGCATTTTGCAATTCAAATTATGGTTCTTTTTCTTCTGGCCAGTACTTAGATATGCAAAGAACTAATCTCTGTGTACGTTAAGATGAAAAATTGCACGTGCATACAATTTTTATAACGCTTTGAGGTACGGGTTTCTTGTTGAAAATATATATGATAATAAAAGGCCTCATAAAATAAAAGGGTAAGGTCGATTTTCGTCGGCCAGGCCAGTGGTTTGCGCAAAAGCCGAAGAGGATCAAAGATGATAGAAGCTTAATGCAGGAGAGGAGAAGCCTCAAGAACGAAAAGGAACGCAGGCTATAAAGCTAGACAAGTTAGCGACCAGAGAGCAGCGAGGAAAACGAAAGGTCGGAGGCTGATGAAAAATACAAAAATTTTCTCCCTTGAAAGAGTAAAGGGGTGGACGGCGGTGGTGGATTCATGCTAGGAAAACGACGCCGGGACACTCGAGGCCAGAATGCCCGCGAACGAGGGTAAGGTGTTTGTCAACGGTTGCCGGTAGTTAATTACTTTACATGAAAGGAACTTTCAGCCGTTTCGCCACTCGAGGCAACCTCGGTCCCCGCGTGCCATCAAACCCCTCCGCCTCCTTCTTCCTTTCGTATCTTCTTCATGGACCTGAGTGCCACCCCTTTCCATCCCTCGCCCCCCCTTTCGCGTTCCTCATCTTCCTGTCACCTGTAAGAGTTTACGAGTATCTAATCCGGCAGAGAGACGGGGGTCGTACTTACTCTGTAAACGAAGCTCCTCGCTACTCTTGTAGCGACCTCGATAAAGAGAGTAAAGAGAGTGGAGATATACGTGTAGATCTTCATTCAGAAATGTGTAGCGCGTTACACTTCGTTTGATCTCAATTGCCATTGAAATAATCAGAGTAGCGAGCCGACACGCGTCGTTAGGACTTTTAATTTGATTCAAGAATTTTTTAAAGAGCATACCTATTCACAAACTTTTTGCTCGTTGGATTGTTTTAATTAAACTTCTAACATCTTTTTATGCAGCTATGTGCAGTTATTGACAAAATACTTTTTGAATGCCTCACATTCCGTACTTTTTTTATCTTCACTGAATATTCAGGGATATGTACAAAATGCATTATTTTTATAATTTAATGTTAAACGCTTCATCTCAATTTGAAATATATTGAATTTTCACGAACAAGAACGTCGAGGCTAAAACATTTTCAATTGAATTTAATTAAATTAAAACGCATATATGTATGTAAAGAAAATTTTTTTAAATAATATATTTATTAGTGTTTTCTCTCATGTAGCTTGAGTCATTTCGTAAAAGTCTTAACATCTTATACGAAAATGATATGAAAAAATAATATACATATTTCTCTTTTTTGGGACACAAGTCGAAATATCTTTGATCCCGAAAGAAAATGCAGAGACGAGATGAAAAATGAAAGAACGAAAAAGGCAGATTTTCGTATAAGCATCACCGTGATTGCACGCGCGAAACAACTCGCTTCATAAACTATTACTGCCCTTCCTTCGGCAACCGTGTATCGTCTTTAATGTTTTACTTTCTTAGATAGCTCTTAGCTGGAGGACAGAAGCGCAGCCATACATACGATTGCGCACACATATATGATTCACATATCGCACTCCTAGAAGAATACTGTCACAACTCAAAAAATTTTGATTTTGAGTTAACCCCATAAAAAGTATGCCTAAAATTGAATTAAATTTTTGTTTTTTCTCTCTCTCCTAAAACTTGTGAATTTTTGAGTTGTGATTCTTCTAGAAATGTGATATATTGATTAATTATAAATTACAGGATCTTATTTATCTTGTACCATTTACAGTCGTCGCGTTTTTTGTTAATTACTGTCGCCTTTTATTGTGTGCGCATTAACCGAAGTTAAATTCACAATTTACAACAGATTCTTTTTTCTATGATGTACAATTCGGCAAGTTTGAGAATGCGCATTGATGCACGTCGCGCGTGAAAATTTCGAATGAAGCATTTTCACGGTTTCTTACTCGCGCTCTCGTCATAACGCGACCAGAAATAGTACGTGTGGTGCAGCGTGGCTGCGTGGAAGCGCGATACATCATTCATATATGGCCCGAATCTCATATCGGTTTCTGATCCTCCGGCTATGACGGCTTTTGAAGGGTCACTTCCCTCCCACGCTTCATCCCCCGTGCCCTTAACCAGCACCGCTCTGTTTATTGTTACGTCGCATTTATGCATGAACCCTCGCGATTCTATTGTCATGTACACATGACGAACTACGGGCGGAAGGGAATGCTTCGTGCTTTCTGAGCGGAAGTCGGCGGTGGTGGCGCGAATGGAGAGGTGGGGTTATTGGGCCAAAGCGGAAATTGATGGCACGGCTCTGGTCTTCCCGGGAACGCGCGGCCCTCCCGCCGGCGACTCTTGAAAGCCAAATTACCGTTTTTTCTCGTGTTTTTAATTACACGCTCAAATGCCCAAACGTTTCAGCGGATGTTTAATCTGTCCGTTCTTACTCGTAATTCGCGCTTTTAATACTATAAAATCGTCTCTTGTGATAAATTACCATGTGAAAAGAAAGAAAATCGAATATAAAACTAATATGCATAACTATCTAAATCACTCTTATTTATTCTATTAAGTATACTTTATCAGAATTAACGATAGAGGAATTTATTGTTAAGGCTTGAAATTTCGTTGAGATTTTATAGCGGATAAGTGATTAGGAATTATATCTAACCGCGATGAAATTGCGGGTCAACAATACTTGATCGGCCGGAATAACTGAGGAAGTGGCATTTTACCAATATCTATATTACATCTCAAGGTTGTAATCTTCTGGTGGAGGACGAAGCAAAAGGGGTGCAAGGTCGGAAACGCGAGTGTTCGTAGGGAGGGCTAAACGAGGGAGGAAACTCTTGGACGTGGTCGTTTCCGGCCGAAGTCTGATGCGTCTTGACTCGAATCCCGACGTTATCGCGACAATTGAATGGGTCGAGCCCTCCTTGCTTTCGCGTTCTCGCTGCACAGCTACGATAAGCCTCAGAAACAGCCCTTAATGGTTTTCCTCGCGATTGCCGGTATCTATATTCTCGATTCAAGCCTGTCGCGTCCCTGCCGCACCTCTCCTCTCGTTTCGCCATCGATATTACCACTTTTGCAGAAACACTCATCCAGTAGCTCGGCGAGGAACTATCGATGATCTTCTCTGCGATGGGATTTTATAGATCGTGCCGCGTTACGAGCATGTTTTCAGATCGCATGGTAGCAATTGAGATGATATAGATGCGTCTTTTTATTCTTGATGAAATCTTTTAAGGGGGTCATAATGAAACTTTCATAATGAAACTTTTTTTCAAAACGTTGGCAAAAATTGAAATTTCAATATTTTTATTTGGTTCTAGTTCACACGATAGCCACACATCCACAGATTAAAAGGAATTTTTTTTTTTTTTTTTAGGATGAACTGGAGATCCGGAATCGTGGGTACCGTTTTTTTTACACAGCTGTCGTCGGGGCGCTCTACAGCGGATTCTTGACCATATATCAACTTGGAAAAATTTCTAAATACTCTTCAAATATCAATAAATATGATGTAAAAGTTTCAAAAAAGTGTATTCTTATGATTCCTTACAAAAAATTCCCCAAAAAACACAGCCTCTTGACTAGACGACCCCCTTAAATTCTATAAACCTCTATTAATCTCTTTTTATCTTGTTGGAGCG